TTGATCTCAGACCACTAGGACCTAATTTGTACCACTAATACCTTTGGAGACAGGACTTGGGCGACTAATGGCCTCGCTGCGCCTTGAACCTTCAGCCCCTATAAACGTCCCCACGTTCGTGGCTCTGACGCTGTGTTTAGGAGTACAACTTTCAAACCGCCTCAACTCCTAAAATGCCAGCGCCTCGCGTTTCTGTTCCACGGTCTCTCCTGGGTCTCACTGCCCTTTGATGACGTATTCAGAGTTCACATTTTTGCTCTTTTATTTAGCGGCGTTGACGAGCTCGAAGCGTCTGACTGGGCTTGGGGTTCCGTGGAGGTTCTTGTTCATTTCCACGGTGTGGTTTACCCAGCGTCAAGGCTGCGTGGTCGCCTGGGGCAGTGGAAAATTCTGCGAAGGTAGCAACGCGCCCATCTAGGATTCCCCTCCCTCCAGCCCAGCAGGTATCCTTTTAATTTATCAGCCTTCCCCTGCTGATAAACCGGCCAGGGGTCTTTCTGACTGTGAATGGCTGTTCGCTGAGGACGCCTACAGATATTGACACTTTGCTAATATCGTGGGGTGTGTCTCATTTGGGGGAAGCCTTGGGAAAGGGTTCTTTCTCTTCTTAGTATTTTTTTAAAGGGCCTTCTCCTAGGTGGTCTTGGGGAAATTTACTGGGGATGGGTTTTGGAAACTTGCGGCAGGGGCAGGGGAGGCTGGTCAGGGTTGGAGACCTCCCACTTCCCCAGCCCACCTTGTCCACGAGCGGAGCGGCCTGCAAGGGCCTCACAGAATGGAGTAGAGAATGATTTTGAATGAAGTTTCGGGACCTCACAGGTGCACTTTTGGACCAGGTCGTGGTCTCTTGTCCTGAGAAGAAAGCGGGTGCACACTCCAGGCCCTTCCCTCCCCGTTTCCGGGCTGGGCTCCCTGCCTTAAACGGAACCTAGCCTTTTTTCCCAGTTCACACACAATGTTTCCATTTGGGCGCTGAAGCTGTTCTCTGGCCTGGCCGTGCCCTCTCTCTACCGAGGCCCAGGGAGTCTACTGGTTTGGACCTACCGGAGGGACCATTCAGGAAGGAGGGCGGCTCGGCGAGATGAAGGGAGGGGACAGTTATGGGTTGAAATTCGGGCTTTCCAGGATCCAGGTCCCTGGGATGCGTGCAGGTTTGTGGGCGTCCCACTGCTAACTCAGACCCGTGGCTCCAGCGCCGCTGTTGCGTTCCGCTGCGAGGTCGCCGTGCCTGCTGTCATTGCGGGTTGGTTAGGTGCTAGCTCTCGTGCCTGCTGAGAAAGGATCTCGCTCGGGCTCGCTCTCGCTCCCCCCTCCCTCCCTCCCTGGAACATGCCAGCCCTTTAATGTGGAGTGTCAGGGAGACGGTGACGTCACCCTGCCCGCTGGGTGGCGTCCCCTCGGTCCGACACGAGTTCAGAGCTAGAGAAAAGCGCTGTCAGACTGCGCTCCACCTGGGGCTCGCCAGCCGCGGGTTGCCGCGCGGCCACACTTTTCTGCGATCCAGGGGACAGCCCACAGCCAAGCGGGCCACCATTCTGGCCCCGACCCGGGTTCGAGCGCCATCGCCGCCAAGCAGAGGCCGCATCTTTGCGCTGGAGTCCGCCGGAGTCTTCCCTGGCCAATTCAAGGACCCGCTTGGATGCTTCGCCTCCGAGCGCCCTCGGAAGATGGACCGACAGCCGCGCGCGTAAAGGCACCTAAGGGTTACCAGGTACCGCCGGGACCGCTGGGCCCTGACTCTAATTGAGATCTCCAGCTTCGGGGTGTAAGAGTGAGTGAGGCTGGGGGGCAGGGGTGGCCTTTGGCGGTGAGGTTTGGAGGCCAGGTGAGTTAAAATGGGAGCGATTGGCTCTTGAGCCGATCTGGAAGTTCCACCCCTTCCTAAGTCCAACTAACTTTTAATTATCTCTTCTTCCCTCAACCCATTAAAAATAACAACCTGACTCCTCTCAGTAGTGTCTTCGATGACGGGAGTGTCCAGGCTGGTTTGGGGAGTAAGTGGAGGTGGCTCTGCTGGAGGCCCAGCTCCTAATGCTCAGCAGAGATGCTAAGGCTGCTGGCCCTAACGAAGAGCCCTCTCCCCAGCGGGCAGGGTCTCGAGGCGTGAGGCTGGGGAGCGAGAGTGTGTGCGCTTTATCCCTGGATATGATTATCGATAATAAGAATCTTATTCCGGAGGCAAATAAGCACTGAAGAGCCACTAGGCGAGGCTGGGGCTGATTGTGTCCGGCCCAGGTATCCTTGGGCCTTGAACTGCTGCTATTCAACGCCCTGTGCCTTGGAAATATTGTCTGTGATCCATTCGAAGTGACAAGTCAGGGGCTCCTCTCTTTTGACCGCATCCAGGTTTGTTCCCCCTGTGTGGAGGCCTCCGGACATAATGAGAGCTGAGAAAGCAAAGGGCGGTGGGGCCAAGGTTTGGGGGTAGAGGTCGAAAGGGCATGGGAAGAAAACTGGATTAAGTCCATTTGGGTGAAGGGGAGGGATTGTGTATCCTTGGAAATCGTGTAATCACATCTCCAAGTAGACTTTGGGCGGGAGCAGCTAGACGATGGCCAGCGGTCAACTTCCAGGGCAAAGTGACCGCTTCCATCGCAGGGAACGCCCGGAAGGTTTCCTGGAACACAGGCCACTTGGCTTGTTTTGACCGAGCAGCACTGTCATCCAGGTTTCGTTGGCTTTGCTTGCTCTGTATTTTCAACTCACTGGCCTGTGGCAGTCGCTTGACACAGGATGTAAAGGGGAATTTGACCTTAGGCCCAACCTGGGACTTACCTTTCATGTTCCACACAGTCGATCTCTCCCACGGATTCGCTAGGGCTATGGCGGGTAACTTGCCCCATTAAAGATCAAGAAATCGACTCAGATCGGAAGAAAAAATGTTTTAACCCACAATGTTGGAGAAGGTGATTCCCATTGCAACTAAATTTGCCTCTTAAAGCCCTCAAATAGATATCTCAATGAGGTGTTCGTTTTCTCTGCCCTGTTTCTGTGTGAAATGCGGTCGCGTCTATATTTATTTGCTCAGTGCCATGGAAATGACAGAAACCCCTCTTAGAAATGTGTCCAAGTCTCTAGCTCTTTTTCCCCCTATAAAACTGGGGCCAGAAACTACTCCGTCCAGTAAATGGGTTTTTGAAAAATTGGGGCGCGAAATGCCCTATTTGCGTGAAACTATTAAATGACTTCATATAATTTTTTAAACCAGAATGAATGAAGTTGAGAGGCGAATGGCAGTTGACTTCCATGAGCCGCTTCTCATCCACTAGTGAATTTCCTCCCAGGATACCACGAATACCTAGGGGTGGGCCGGGAATCTCTTCTGTAAAAGGTTCATTTTAACAGAAATCCACCTATTTTCTACCAAATATGAGTGATCTCATGAAATTGGAGCTTCAAAAATCGGTCCCACTTTTCCTTAACTTTGAGTATCTGTATTGATGATAACTGCTCTCCTTTCTTTCTTGTTTCTAGCGAGCATGCCATTTTATTCGAAAAACTTATGTACATCTTGGGAAGAGCTTGAAGGTCTTAGAAGTGAAGTGAGGAGGGGGGGATAGACGTATCATCAATTTGTTTTGCATGCTTATAATGGAGAAACATAGCTTTCACCTGTCTCTTGGCATTTCTAAAGAGTGACTTTGAAATGGAGAATGTGTGTGTGTGTGTGTGTGTGTGTGTGTGTGTTTTGTGTCAAGAACTGAGCCCCCTAGTGCCATAATAACCAGGCCTTGACCAAAGGAAGGAAGTTACAGTAACAGCTCAGCCACGGACTCCCCGCTGTCCTTTTAGCCTGGAAAATCTTCTCCCAAACAGTCAACACTTTCCCTTTTTCCTTCCAGTGTCTCAGGCAGACCCGGAGGGCCTGGCCCGGGCTTCCAAAGCGGGGGAGATGGCTTCCAGCCCGCTGCCCGGGCCCAACGACATCCTGTTGGCGTCGCCGTCCAGTGCCTTCCAGGCCGATGCACTGAGCCAGCCGCGGCCAGGCCACGCCAGCCTCAAGCCCAACCAGGTGGGCCAGGTGATCCTCTATGGCATCCCCATCGTGTCCCTGGTGATCGACGGGCAGGAGCGCTTGTGCCTGGCGCAGATCTCCAACACGCTCCTCAAGAACTTCAGCTACAACGAGATCCACAACCGCCGCGTGGCGCTGGGCATCACGTGCGTGCAGTGCACGCCGGTGCAGTTGGAGATCCTGCGGCGTGCGGGGGCCATGCCCATCTCGTCGCGCCGCTGCGGCATGATCACCAAGCGCGAGGCCGAGCGCCTCTGCAAGTCGTTCCTGGGGGAGAACCGACCACCCAAGCTGCCCGACAACTTCGCCTTCGACGTGTCCCACGAGTGCGCCTGGGGCTGCCGTGGCAGCTTCATCCCCGCGCGCTACAACAGCTCGCGCGCCAAGTGCATCAAGTGCAGCTACTGCAACATGTACTTCTCACCCAACAAGTTCATCTTCCACTCCCACCGCACGCCCGACGCCAAGTACACGCAGCCTGACGCCGCCAACTTCAACTCCTGGCGCCGCCACCTCAAGCTCACCGACAAGAGCCCCCAGGACGAGCTGGTCTTCGCCTGGGAGGACGTGAAGGCCATGTTCAACGGGGGGAGCCGCAAGCGCGCGCTGCCCCAGCCCGG